TGAGGTATTCCTTGTGCTTTTATTTTGCAATGAAGAGGACTTGTTGAGACCAAGTGCCCATCTATCCAGATCACCAGTGCGGGTCCAAAGATCTTCTCTGTTCCCAGTTATCTGCTGCAGTTTTTCCCTCTCTGATGACTTTATGGTTCTGCTGGCTCTTCATGCTAGATCTGCATGGTCTAGCAGAACAGGTACCCTCTGACTACAGGTAACTTCAGGTCTTTTCCCAGGTGGGACCTAGATTCTTTGCAGAACCCTAAGAAATACTACTTTGCTTTTCTGACCCTAATTTCTCTGCCAGTAAAATGAGTGTAATAAACTCCCTTTTGTAGCTGCTTTGGGGAAGATGGTGGATTTAGTGCTAGAGGTATCAACCACTGTGTGGTCTCCTGGGGCCCTCCAGCACACAGAAGTGAGGTTGCTTCATACCCTCAAGCTAACCCCCAAGCTAACCCCCAAGGACTTAGTACGAATCTTTTCCTCAGCCCTATGATGATGATGAAGCAGAGGGCCTGGAGAACGTAGCACAGGAGGTCTTCAGGTTCTCAGTGTAGATCAAACTGGGGCGGCAGGTCATTTTGAAGAGTTACTGAGAGAGAAAAGCCCCAGTGCTGTCAGCATTATCATTTCCTCTCTGTGATCACCAGGAATGTGCTATGGAGTGTCACCATGGCCCTGCAGGACAGGCCCAGTCAGACTCGTGGCTGCTTGTACACTTTGCTGAAGTCTCTTTGTTTTGGTGGCTTCCACACATCCAGAAACAGACCCATACCTCAGGCAGTTCTGAGAAGCCACTGAAGAGAATCGTCTGGGGGTTTGTCTGTTGATAGAAAGCTCTTGATCCCTGCAGCTCTGCAGTGGGGTCCCAGGGCTCCTGGGCAGGACAGCATGCACGGTCCCCTTGGAGCTCCCCGAGTGTGGGGTCTGTCTGGAGGCTGCAGCCCCATCTGGTTGCTAGCATAGCACTGTGGGTGTGGAAGGCTGCACAGGAGAAAGATGGACATAAATTACCCCATCTCCTTACTCTCCAGCCTTCACTTCTCCTCCTTGCTTTTTCCCTTTGTGGTACCTCCTGTTCTCTCTCTTTCCTCTCTGAGCCTGTTTCATCTCTTGCCCTGCCTGCTCTCACCTCCCCACCCCTCTTCCCTCTCATTTTCTCTCTCCTCTGCACTTCCAACCCACCTACAATCACCCCAGCTGGCGCCTCTTCTGGGAGCTGCCCATGAGGTGTGACATACCCCACATCAACAGGGAGCAGCAGATAAGGCTCATGCCCTGGCTCCCAGCTCTTGGCTTCCAGGTTTGCACCAAGAACGCTCAAGCCAGTCCAGGAGCTGGCAAAGCCCAAGTGTGCCACAGCCTTGCCTTGCTGCCCCAACATGAGCACCGGCCTCCCCACAAAAGCACAGACGCGGGGTCTCCACCAGGAGAAGGCAATGTGCTTGTGCTGCTGCCATCCCACACACGACCACCTCGCCCTGGGGGACAACCACAAGCCCTTATCAGGATTCAATGCCTTGCTGTGAGGAGGAGGGATCGTTTTCCTTTCTGGGTCTCCCTGCTCTCCCTCTAACCCTCTGCTCTCTCCTTCCTTCTCATCCATTTCCTTTGACACTGGTCCCAGGCCCACTGCCAAGTTTCAGATACATTAGCGAGGTGCCTTGCTGACTGAAGCACAAATCAGGATGGATCCGGGTGCAATTAGCAGCTTCTAGCACCTCATCTGGAAGGCATTAGCTTGGCTTTTTTTTTTGGAGGGAGTTATGGGTTGGGAGGAGAAGAGAGAATTAAGAGGGAATGGATATAGATGCCAAACAGAATAAATAAGCTATTTCTGCCACTCTTAGGAACCACCATCTAGCATCCAGCAGCAACATACAAACAGATGTGCAACAGTGATCTGAAGGGGACACAGTTACTACTGTACCAAGTCGGTGTGACCCATATACCTCCCCTCCTGGGAGGATGCAGTTATCGGCTCCAAGAAGGTACTAAAGATGGCATGAAAGTGTGCGCTAAGCCACTGCTTGTGAGCAATGTCCTTCCTGGTTTCCCCTCATTGACCAAGGCTTGTGGTTACAGTGTCTGTGCATGCACTTTGGTCTACCTTGCCCTCGTGTTCCTTTGGTCATCTCCTCCATCTGGCTCCCAGTGCACTAAAATCCCTAACAACACAATGATGTGGTATCCTACACTTGAAGAGCCAAGATAGGCTAGCATGTACCAGTTACGAAGGCCCATGTGTGTGTTGTAGGCACAAGGACCGGATAATCAAGCCAGGACTCTACAAAATGTATTAGCCTTAGTTTTCTTCACCCAGCCTTGCAGATACCTTTGAGGAAAACCTTGGTATTGCACTCAGCAGAGACACCCCTGCTCCCTTGCCAGCTTGCTCCGGGCAACAGCCAAGGTACATGGATGCACAGGAGCATGTGACTCTTAGGCAACCTCGGTCCCAAGCTAATAGGACAGAGCAAACATACTTGTAGTGTGGCCTTTGTGTTCCCAGAAACCTCCTGCTCTTTCATGGGCACAACAGTCAGAACATGTCTCTGAGTGATTGATACTGCTGACCATAAGAAACCGTGACTGTCAGAGTGAGTTTGAAAGCATTCTTGTGCTCCAGAACAAGGGTTGGCAACTGTATGCTTGTCCTGTCATCTCTGCAGAAAAATACGCTGTGCATTTTCTTTTAGTTTGTCCTCCATTCCCTACCTTATGGAAGGGGCCAGAACCAGCCTGTTCATTCCCTCTGCTCTTCCCTTCTGCTGGATCTCAGCTCTGGGGAGCAGGAACAGGCAGGTGGGGGAGCCGAAGGCTGTGCTGGGTGGTAACAGGGCTGTCTGCTGGGAAGCAGGACCGAGGGCCATGGGGAGCTGCAGGCAGCAAGTGGCTGGCATGGTTCTGAAACGGGGTATTCAGGGATAAACCCATCACTGACCACAGCCTCCCCTTGAAGGAGAGCCCGCTCACCAGCAAAGCACTGGCTGGCTTTTAGTTACTCATCTGGGTGCCACCCCAACACCTAGAGGCGAGGTTCCCCCTGGCCAGAGCACTCACAGGCCATTCCTCTTCTTAGGGCCACCTGCTGATGGGCAGGGGTTGGGGGAACCAAGGCTTCCTCTGAGCCAGTGATCTCATGCTTTTCCTGTGCAGGCAGCAGCTGGATGTTGCTGGAAACATCTCCAAGAGTAATTTTTCCTACACTGGCTGTTGCCAGATGATGGTCTGTGAAGTCCTGCTGGTTAATGAGCTCATGGAAAGTGACCTGCGCTTGGGGTCAGGGGCCAGCCACCTTCTCAAACTGTGGTGACAGAGGTGTGGAGCTGCCTGGGGGAGATGTTGAGGGAAAACACTATTTGTTTGTTCAAAGGTTTTGGGACATGCTGTTACATTCTGCATTCTCTGTTGTTTTCCCCCAGGCAGGTACAGGTATAACAAGGTAAAGGTGGTGATGGTTTCTCCTGGCATGAGAAACAAGACTGGCAATGGATGATATTGGGATCCCTTAGCAGGGCATTGAACTGGCTGGAGGGACTCTGTGGCTGTTCTGATGGGTTTTGGTACAAGGAGGCAGAATTTCAAGGCACCAGAGAAAGCCAAGCACCTCCTTTTGTCCCCTCCATGCCTCTTGCCAGCAAGCTGTGACAGGAGACACTGTAAATTCTCCAAAGCCAGGGCTGCTGAAGCACTTTCTACAATGCCAGTAACTGTGACATTCATCCTTTCAGCATCCTGTTCATTTGCTCAGTGTGGCAAGGAGGCAGCCTTGCGGCACTCAATGTTTCCAACCAGTCAGACATGCAATACACAGAGAAGGACAGACTCCTCCGGGTAAGCAACACCAAGTAGATGGGAGAGGGGCAGACGGGGGGAGCGGATGTGCAACGAGGGGCACGAGAGCTGTGGTGGCAGGAAGCACACCCCATGCCGGGTGCTGCTGTGCAGTAGCAGGGGACAAGGGAGGCCACATGCCCCGGGGGCCACAGAAATAAGCGAGTGCCCTCCCTCTGTCTGCGAGTGTCTGTGCCTTGCCTACATGCTCGGAGGCAGAGGAGGACACCCGCACACGCTCTGCCGGTGGCTGCCTGCACGTACTGCCTTGTTTTCCTGGCTGGGGTGTAGGAGAAGGCCTGGTTTTGGTTAAGCCCTCAGTCACACAAAGATGCCTTTCCCATTACTCTTTTGTTTTTCCTTCTAAGCAACTCTCCCATTTAACTCTTCCAACTCTCCCCCATAGTGTAGGCTGCCCTGCCTGAGGGCTGGTCCAGGTCAGAGGCAATTTGGGAGCAAAGGGGAGTTGTTGGAATCCAAGGCTGGAAACCCTTCAGCCTTGCAGAGGGGCTTTGGGAACCTCAGCAAACGGGAAGGATGACACCATTGAGAAGAGCTAGGAGGCCAGAATGAAGATACTCCAGTGGTGTAGGGCTGAGCATGGTAGAAATACCTAAAGAGTCAGTCATGGCATTATCATGATTGAATTTGACTCCAAACTTCAAATCTGCAAAGAGGGAGTGGGGGAGGCGGAAAAGAAAACATGCGAAGGCCTTTTCAAAACCCAAGACCACAAGCAAAAACTTCCTATAAACAAATCAAATGGAAATATTTTTTTAGCTCTATAAACATTTTCCCTTGAAGCGTTCAACCCAAATATTGCATCACTGTGCTAAGACATAAACAAATCTTGCAGTGAAAGAGATGCACACCAACAATAGACTAGCCTGTTTGCCTTGTCCGGGCTGGGAGAAGTGCAAAAAATAAACAAAGAGGGCAAAGACTGACAAGCAGGAGAGAGATGTCTGAGGACTACTTGCCTGAATATTCGAGGGAGGGAAGAAACACATACCCCACCCCCCAAATCCCACTGAGGTTCAGTAAGGAAATTCAGGTCCTTCAGGGTCCTTAGAAAATCACAGCTCTGGCAGACTTGTCTTTCACAAAGCAAGGTAGGTTCTGATTTCCCCAAATGCATTATTTAAAAAACTTATCTGACGAGTACCTCATCGGTAGAGAGATGTATTTATTTTTGCAGTGATTATAATGGTGGTAGCAGGAACTAAACTGGCCAAGCTGTGCTGTGTTTTATACCAGTGTCATGCTTCCCCTGCGGGGAGCCCAGTCACTGACCCATGGGAAGGCTGTCCTGAGCAGAAGTCAGCACGCTGCCAGCAGGAGGCAGGGGTCTGGGGCCTGGCTTTTGGTTGGCAAAAGTCTTTAGAGGCGCTACAGAAGGAAGTATTTTGCACCAGACTGGAAAATGTGAAGTACCCCCTAAGAAACACACACCCCAGTAACAGCAGCATAAGGTGACTTAGGGGCCTCCAGGCTGCTATTTGCTTATCTTTCCGGCATATAGGTACCCCTAATCTGGCTCTACCCCCCTCAAGGAGAGTGGACAAGGACATGCCGAGGTGGAGGAAGAGGAAGGTGAGGGATGGGGTGGCATGTACCATAGCACAATTCCACCTAGCAACTTCAGTACTGCTCAGTATCATGCGTTTAGAGTCACGGGACCATGCTGGGACCAATATTTGGCTCATCCTTCATACAGACACTGTAAAAGTTGTGAGGAATCTTGTGTCTTTGTCTCTGCCACCAAGAGAGACAGGCAAGGAGTCACTCTGGTGGGAGGGGATCTCACTCTTGTTCCAGCTCACACAAGAGACACTGAAGAAAGGCCCACCAAAAAAAAACCTGCTCAGCAGTTGAGTCCCACGGGAAAGTTTCACCACCAGAAAGCCAGTATAACTTGAAACCTCTTGGGCAGATAAACTGGCTCTGTGTGCTGCTGAGATGAAACAGAAATATGATTACGCTTGATCCCTCAGCTGGGGTCATACTGCTCAGTCAGTGCAATAAGCAGAAGCGACTACGATTTCTCTGTGGCTTAATATCCTCCTCCTGTGCGTCCTCCTGGCGCCAGGCTATGCGATGCACGATCCTCAAGCTCAGCGACCCCGGCCGAGCTGCCTGCAGCACTGCAGGGAACAGCAAACCTCCTGAGACCATTTGATCTCCCTGGACTGACAAAAGGTTCTCCATGCGTGCTTTGGTCTTGCGAAAATGACTTCAGGTGCTGCTGCAGGAGCTGATTTACGAGGGGAGGCTGGGAGAATAAAGGGCCTCACACACTTCTCATGTTACATTGCATCTAGATGGTGTGAATTCAGAGGCGTTTACGCCCGGCTAACTAAGGGAGAATTGGGCCCAGACCCACTGTATCTGTCTGACCAACAGAGAGGATCAAAGACCTGTAAATGCCAAGCAGAGGTTGTCTGAAAATATTAGACTCAGAAGTAATGGGATGAACTGTATCAGAGTAAAATTCAATTTGTAGGGAAAAGATTGCAGCCGACATCCATTCCCTAAGCCTGTGTTCTGCTTTCCACAAGAGGCTTCTAGGTATGGCTTACATCAGTCAGGAAAGGGGATTAAACGGGTTTTGGGTTTAGCATGGTCTGGCATGCAGCAGGGCAGACTAGATTGTGAGTATTTTCATGGCTTGCAAGACTTCAGAAGGTGGTCTGCAAGTGGATTACAGCATCCTTCTCCAAATTCCCACCCATGCACTCATGCCTCATGCAATATCTAACACATGCCATGAAATGAAATGGTGACAAATAAAAGCAGCTGGCAGAAATGAAAAAAATGCAGAATTTCAAAGCTTAGCCTGATTTTTATTTGGCTATAACCGCAGGCTGCTGCGTGGTATCATGCCAAGAAAGTATCTGTGGATTTCTTTTTTCTCCCCTGAAAGGTTAGTTTGTTCTTTAGTTTAAAAAGGGATCAGAAACGCTAAGCTGTAGAACTTTTTAAAGTTCATCTAACCCTTGTCCTCAGAAACTGAAAATTCCTGAGCACCATGGCCTCCTTATCAGCTGCAATTCTGTTTTCTAAAAGGAGACCTGGTTCCTAAAGTTACAAAGAAATGACTGGAAGGTGCTATGCTACCCTGCTCTTTAAAATGCAATAGAAGTGTATGTGTGCACAGCCTGATGAGAAGACAGATCAGGGCATATAAGCACAAAGCCACAGAGCTGCAAGAGCAACTCTTTCTCTTTTTTGCCTTTTACACAGTCTCCAGTCTGTGGCAAGATGACAGTATTCAGTGGAGACACCATGCAACAATAGAGAGGAGAGTATTAAAAGGACACTGCAGATAGGCAATGCACAGCCAGATTGACCCAAAGGAGAGAGACATAAAATGGTTCAGAAGTCAGCGCTTGCAAGGCTTAACAACGGAGAGCTGGAGATACTGCTGAGGATTATACAGTAGGATCATACCAGGAGTAAAGAACAAAGAAAGGGAAACTGCAGGTTGGGAAAATAGTGATGTTTTGAGAGGTGCATCTCTGAATTAGACAAAAGTGCAGCAAGGAGCAGCCCTGTCTTGAGGCAGTGTCTCCTGCAGTCTCACAAATGGGCTAGCTGCTGGGGCATAGGTGGAGAAGGTAGGTTCAGGGAGGGTGACACCTCTGACATTCTTGGGAGGTCAGGAATATTCTCTGGCCAGGTGGTCCCTCTGGGGAGGAAGGGGTTATCCAGGGTGCATCCTCAGGACCTGAGTGCTCATGCAAGCCCTGAGTCAGCCCCATCTGTCTCCAGGTCCCCAGGAAGCACCATCCTCATGCCCTGGACCAGGGGCTTCCCCACAGGCTGAGCCCAGAGCAGGACCTGTCAGCACTGTGGGGGCTTCCCTGCACTCCCCTCGATGCCCGGCTGTCTCCAGGCCCCAGCCGCCAGGCTGGGATGTGGGTTAGCAGATTTTTTCCACGCTGTTTCTCCGGGATCCCTGACAGAGCCCATCAGAGCTGCCTTTTATCAGCACTGCACGCCTTAGTGAGCCTGTCATGACTCACACACAATGTGCTCTGTGCTGGATTAATCCGGACGGCTTTCATGCTCAGGATGTGGGCGGTGGGTTGAGTGGGGGGGCACGGGGACAGATGCAGGGCCAGCGGGGGCCCGGGAGACTGGGGATCCCCAAGCTTTTCACTTGCTGAAACTAGGGACCTGTTTGAGGGCTGTTTATGGGGACAGGGAAGAACTAGCCACAAACAATGAAAAACAAAGAAAGAAAGGCAACAGGTGTGTGGGAAAGTGGTGAAGGAGGAGAGATTACAGGTAAATAATAGGTGAATAAATGGACTGCAACAAAGAGTGAACGTGATGTAAAGGGAGATCTGAGTGCCTTAAAATGTAAGCTCCCTTGTTGATAGATATGACAGGTAGTTATTTCACAGAAGTGTAATTACTCAGGGACTGTACCCCAGCTAAAGGGATCTTTTCAGACTTCAGCATTAACCTGGAACACCTTCAAGATGTCTCCATACCTTGACTGCTGATGTCTGTAAACCCTCAATAACTTACTTCAGATTAAGGGAATCAGCAAAAAGTGTGAAATCCTAAACCCAGTCAATTCTGTACTGATGGGAATAAGACACCCATTGACAACTATAGCACCAGGTTTCCATGTATAGTCTCCACAGAGAAAATAAGGGATTCATCTAACATGAGAAGAAAAAAATGCTTTTTTTCCCAACAAATCTGCAAGCTTCAAATGGGTATCAGGGGAAAAGGATTGGTAAAAGTCACCTGACCTGATACTGCACAAACATCTCGTACTCCCTACCATGATTCCTAGCCGAAGGTGTGCACACACACACCAAAAGAAGCCATGGTTTTCTAGGAACTGGTGATGTTGCAGACAAGAGTATACACATAATGTGAATGCATATGCTAACACATCTATATTGCACATATGCACATATATATCTCCTCCAACTTGACATTCAAACTGTTCATTTGAAATTATCCATTCTATCTATTGCGTTTTACCCAGAACACCTTATTTTCTGCACCTAAGTTCCCATCTGCACTTGGAAGGGTGAACTACTTCATAACAACCTATCCTGTCTATCCACTGCACACACGCCCTAAGGTTTCCAAATAACTTCTCAATCGAGGACCTGCCTGCTGCTGAAATGTCACCTTCAGTGGGGTAAAATACAAGACCTATTTAACAGCACACAGCAACACTGTCATAGGAAAAGATGATAAGCATGCTCTTGTTTTTATGTCCTGTCCATCAAGGGAGCATTTCTCACCATTAACCCTGAGATGAAGTTTGGTGATGAGCCATGGAGGGCATGTACTACCTCTTCTTGCACACAACAGGTTCATGCTGCTCTTATATTCAGTCTTAGGACTTCCATCATCCAGCACTGGCAGTGAGGTGTGTGGTCATGATCGCAAATGTGGTTGCCTTGGCTTTCACTGCATGAGAAGTTTCATACTGTAGAAGAGTTGTTGTCTAAGTTCTAAGAAAGGAAAGCAGGATCCTGCAGGAAGGGGGGGGAGAAGTTATTTATTTAGGGCATTTCCCTGAGCTCCTTAATCAAGCAAATGGTTTTACCCATTGCATTTGATAATTTCCAGTTAACAAAACATTTTCTTATAGACCCTGTCCTCCACCCAAAACATTGAGTGACACTGTAAAACACTCCCCATACACAAGAGGATCTCTCTGACTGCCAATCCCTGAACATTTTAAGACAAGAAAGCAAATGGACCTCAACTGGGTCATCTCATACACCTGGGAGCCTACTGACTGTCCAAATATTTCCTGTCAATGAACCAACTACAAACAGAATGGTAGTTCTTTACAACATCTCCTGTAGATACATACTACAGAGCATAGGCACATCTGTATCCATATGTAAAACATTTTATACAAATATACCTATCACTGCGCAGAAGGAGAATGATACCTTTGTGGGGATACATTTCTTTTATATTGTTTTTACTGTACCAGTAATCCTGTTGCCAACCCCTCTCCCACAGAAGGCAGAGCTAGCACTGGTTCGCCAAGATCTATTTAATTTCAGAATACATACATTACCCTCATGCGCATTTGTGTTTGTGTGTGAAGGGTAATGTATATATCCTGAAATGAAATAAACCTCAGTGCACAAATGGTATTTCTGGCGTGAGGGTGAGCTTGTCACAACCCAGTTTATGTCCCTGACTTAGACCCTAGTGGTAAAACTAAACTGGCATTGGCTGGTTTAGTTTACACCAGCACAGCTTTCCTAATATAGTCAGGCCCATCTCTTGTCCTCCCATCCCACCCTCCACTCTTTTTTTTGGCTCTCTTGAGTTTTGATGACTGAATCACTTCCCCCTTTGTTTCTCTGATTTCTTTCCTAATCTTCTGCTCCTGAAAGATGCTTAGTTCCTGAATCCCTGTACAAATACACTTTCCTTTCTAAGCTTCTCAACAGCCAAACAAGGTTTTATTTGTTTATTTAATTTGACATGCCGAGAGAGAAATGATCCCATTTCCTATGGATTATCGAAGTAACAAATAGCTTTACAAGAGGGTAAACAAAGTAAAACTCATGTTGAAACTCCTTTGAACCAGGGGCTTCCCACTGTTGTCGCTCCCCAGTGTGTCTTTCTCCTCTCCTCCCCACTACACACAGGATGAATTTCTTGTCCCCTTGGCCCATGGCTGCTGCCCTCAATCCAGCCCGCTTCTGGGGCTGAGACAGTCATCAGCTCCTCATCCTTGCTTTCACCCACCATCAATCTTTCACGATATGGTCAGACAGCTTTGAGATCCCTCTGTGAATGAGCGTTTTCTCCATCTTGTCTTTGGCTCCATAGCTCAATTGCATCCATCAATTTTCCAGTTTTGCAAAGAGTCAGAGCTAGAAAAACCTGTGGGTGAGCGCAGGAGCTTCCACAGAGGCAGGGATGCCATATGGATTTTTGTTGGGAGTTTTGCCTAACTCAGGCAGCAGGCATGGACTCTTGGTAGCATAACTCTGCATGCACACCACCTGCAGTGTACATTTCTGGAGGAAAAATAAACAAAACAACAGAAAACAGGCCTGAAGCTGAGCTAAAATTCAGAAGGACTTGGAACAAGGGTGCTGATGGGCTCCCCACGGGATGACACATACCAGCAGTGTGCTGCTCACACTTTTTTGGGGTGCTTAGGTTTGGTGGCTGGGGTTTAAACAGCTCCTCCCCCCGCCCCCAACATGCCTTTCTGTTTATTACTCCTGCAGTAATTGGGAGGCATGTGTGGATGAATTAAACATAGCAGGACAGATGAGAAAACTCTCCCTCTTAGCTGGCTGAATGAGCAAATTTAACTGAGCCTGTTACCCACTGAGTATCATGCCGACATGCCAGGGTCCGGTTTCCTTTGAGCTCGCCCTTTCATGCGGAGTCCCTCCATGCCCCCTGCCTTGCTCCGCACAATATCAAACAGCTGGAGGTTTTGTGGCTCCAACGAGGAGCCTTTGCATTTGATGGCGGCAGCAGTGGGAATTTCACGTGGGATCAGAAATGGATGGGACGGATCCGGGCAAGCTCGTAGCTGAGGATCAGGGGGCTCTGGCACATCCTGAGGGGAACAGGTCCTCCCCACAGCCACAGGCTGCACCTGGTCAATGTCCATGGTAAACTCTTCCTTATGGCTGAGGGAGTGGGGCTAAAGAACGGGGGATTTGGCTTTCACACTACTCCTAGCTTCAGCCAGGCCAGTGGCACCTGGAAGTCAGTTCTGGTGGGTAATTTGAAATAAATGAGAGCCAGCCTAGAGCCACCATCCCCAGTACAGTATTAAGGCAACTGCCCTTTGGCAGAACAGCCACTGGCTTGTCTGGGGATGCCAAGGGGACATGGCTGTATCAAACATCCTGCTTTGTCTCACAGCATTTCTTCCAGCATTAACAATGGGGGCAGGCGGGAAGAGAAGCACCCTGTGTTTCCTCTACCCCCAGGGATAAACAGGGAATGTAATCCTGCAGGCCTGCAGTCTTATTTTTTTTCTCCCCTAGTGTTAAACAAGCCCCAGGGCACTTCTTTGTACAAGGTAGCTCCAATTCTGCTCCCTCACCACTTTCCTCCCACCTCTGTAAGCCCCAAACTAGCCAGGGCTAATTCAATTCCTGCTTTAATTTAGGACAGTTTACGACTGTTCTAAATTAGGAAACCACTGTGTTTCAGACAAGGCAGGTGCTAGAGGTCTTAGCACTTCTAAAAATTAGGCCGCTTAGTGAGGTGTCTACATATGGATTTAGCACCTGAGGACTGCATTACGGAGCAGCTAAGGGAAAGCTTGTAATCTGGGAAGCAGTTATTTAAAAGATAATTAGACATTAAAGTTAACATTGCAGAGGAAGGAAGTTTGTGTTCAACCTGATAAGCCTACCCATTCAAATGCAAGTTGAAGAGCCATCAATACCTATTCCCCTGAAACAGAAGAAACTCTGTGGAAAAAACAGTTTTGACATTTTCAGTATCCTTGTCATAAACCAAGGAAATAAGAAACCCAACTCCAAATATAAAAAAACCCAATCCTTCAAATCATCCTTATGTGTGAGAAATGGGTAATCCAGGAACACAGGCCCCTCCTACATTGCCACTAAGCAGCAATAACCCTGGAAACTAATGATGACATGAGAATAAACTTTAACTCTTTCACCTTCTCTGACTGAAGGACTTCAGATTTAGAAACTACAGATCATATTTACAAGCTATACTCTGCATGGCATAGATCTGAGAAACCTATCCCAATCTTTCAGTGACAGCAGGTTTGTTCCAAAGAAACAAAGCCCTTTATTGAAAGGCTTTGAATGATGGAGTATATCCTGCACCCCTGGGTAAATCCATGTTTTGTGGCATATATTTATCCTTTGATGTGGGAGGAAGCAGTGAGCAGGAGCTGGTTTGGTTTAATCCCAGAGGGTGGTGTCATTTCTTTTGGTAAAAGTTTGCACCTGAGATGCTTTCCCAGAAAGCAAGAACCTGCCAGGATGGATGGATGGAGGAAAAGATCTTTGCCTTCTTGTCTCGGTTTTCTCCATGTCACCCCCAGAGAAGCTGCACACCTCATGGTTTAGGAAAAGGAGTCAGTCACCTTCTTTGCAACTAGCTAAAGTCACACATAGACTGTTTGACCTCCATGGAAAGGGACTGTCTCCATTCAGCAAAAAATTAGCCCCTGTGCTTGGGGGGAACTGCAATTTGAAAGAACTATTTGGACGCATCCTATTTAACTTGGATGCATGCAAAGTTCTGCCTTTTAGGTGGTCATTTCTTCTCCTCCTTCTCTCCTTCCCTGTCTTCACTTTTGCTTCAGGTGTCTTGATGTCCTGATCCAGATGGTTGAACTTCAGCCACACAACTGGGGAAGCTGAGGCACGTGATGACAGGACTTGCCTAATCCCACCCAGCAGCCCACATACGAGGAGAAGGACTTGGGGGCACTGGTGGATGAGAGATTAGATATGAGCTGGCAGTGTGCACTTGCAGCCCTGAAGGCCAATTGCATCCTGGGCTGCATCAAAAGGAGCGTGACCAGCAGGTCAAAGGAGGTGATCCTGCCCCTCTACTCTTGTGAGACCTCACTTGGAGTATTGTGTGCAGTTCTCAGCGCAGGAAAGACATGGAACTGTTGGAGTCCAGAGAAGGGCCACAGAAATGATCAGAGGGATGGAGCACCTCTCCTGTGAGAACAGCTGAGAGAGCTGGGGTTGATCAGCCTGGAAAAGGCTGCAGAGAGCCCTTATTGTGGCCTTTCAGTTCTTTAAAGGGGCCTATAGGAAAGATGGGGAGAGACTTTTTAGCTGGGCCTGTTGATGCTACGAGGGTTGATGGTTTTAAACTAAAGGAGGGGAGATTCAGACTGGATGTGAGGAAAAAATTCTTTACAATGAAGGTGGTGAAATACCGGCACAGGCTGCCCAGAGAGGTGGCGGGTGCACCACCCCTGGAGACATTCAAGGCCAGGCTGGATGTGGTTCTGGGCAACCTGATCTAGTTGGAGATGTCCCTGCTCATTGTAGGGGCTTGGAGTAGATGACTTTGGAAGTCCCTTCCAGCCCAGATTGTTCTATGACTCTTTATGTTTGCTCCGGCATCCTTCCAGCAGGTGCCTGGTGCTGCAGGGACAGGCGTACAGAAAAAGGCTCTCCCTGGGAAGCTCCACAGGTGGCGGGAGCAACTTCTACACAACTTCCTGGGGCTGGTCCTTCTCGGGAAGAAGGGAAGGTCTCCCGGGAGGTCTGCCACAGGGTGATGTTTATCAGCAGCCCATTTCATTACAACTAACGGCTGCCCGAGGCCCCACCACTGTCCAGTTTCACAGCCAGGATGAGGCAGGATGGCCGTCGGTACAGGGACGTTCGGGGGGCTCCGTGAGCAGCTGCTCCTGGCTGGGGTGACCACTTCAGCCATAAGGGCTGGAGGCTGCCACTCTCCGGGCCCGGGGAGGGGGCACGTCCCCAGGCCCCTGTTCCCCACAGCGGCGGGGCCGCCTCCCTGCGCCCAGGCCAAACTTTCCGTCCCAACTTTCCCGCTTCCGCCTGCCGGGGAGCATGGCGGGCGGTGGAGAGACGCCCCAGCCGCCTCCTCCGGGGGCACGCACCCGCCAGATGATGCCGGCCAGTGTTCGGGGGTGCGGAGGGGGCAAAGAGAGAATACGGGTCTGACATGCCAGGCTTTTGAGGAAGGGGGTTTATTTTGCGCTTTCTCCCGCCTCTGGCTCCTCCTCTTCTTCCCTCCTCCTCAGGGGGAGGGGAGGAGGGAGGCTCTGGGGCAGGAGTAGCCGGAGCAGGGAATTGTTTGGGAGTTCAGTCATCCAAAAGCCGTCTCCCGTATGGAGGGTCTGGCTTCCCGCATCCCGGCGCCTCTTCCCTCCTCCTCCTCCCGCCGCGCCTGAGCTCAGGGCGGCCCCTCATCCCCAGCGGCAACCCGCAAACACAACCACCACCCCAAACCAACGTCCCCCCCTTTCTTCTACCCCAAAACCAGGCTTTCCCCCTCTCTTTTCCTCTCTTTTATTATTTTTTTCTCTGTGTGTGTGTGTGTGCTGAATTCCCCGCAGATCCGGCCTGGAAGTTCCCAGCTCCTGGAGTTAAGCCTCTTTGTTGCTTCCCTTCGTTTGGGGCATCTTTGTGTTTTCCCCAGCCTGCTCCGTTGGAGACCGCGGTGAGTGAACCGAAGGGGGCCCGGGGCTGGGAGGATGGCTGTGGCGAGCGGCGGGGCGCAGGGCTTTCCCCCCCCTCCTGCAGCCGGCAGCGGCAGTGACCAATCTTTGTGTCAAGAGTTTGGGAAGTTGGTGTGGAGATGCGGGGAAGTGTGTCTGCGCCGGGACGCGGGAGACTGACAAGGGAGTAGGGAAGACACGCTGGTCCCCACCAGCATGGGGCTTGTTTTGGCTCAGGCAGGTGAGATGTGGAGGGCTCGGTTGTTTCCCTCCAGCTTTTCCTCCTCGGTCGGCGTTAATGGAGGGCCCAGTGCATGCACACAGTACGCGGTTGCCTGAAACTTGCCTAAAAGCTTGGTCCAGGACGTGACCCCATCCTCACTGCCAGCTAGTTGAGGAGGGATGGAGCGCAGTGGAGAGAGGGAGAGAGAAAATTTGTTCAAAATAAGCGCCAGATTCATCCTCCGTTGCTCCAGCTCTTCTCAAAAGCTGACGGGAATTTGCAGGCAAGACCCAGCTCTTGAAGATGCAAAGGCATTTTGGTTTGTGCCCTGCTGCTGCCGCAAAGAAAAGCGGGAGTGGGTAATCTCTGAGTAGAAATCTTGTTGTCTTCTTATGCAGCTGTAAAGTTTTTAACCCTGCTACAACGAGGAGCGATTTGGGTCAGGGGAAGTAATTTTCTGCTCGGTGGTGGGATGCTGTAGGATTTGTGCATGCATGCCTCGCTGCTTGAATTGCAACTTTGGCAGGTCCTCTGCATGGTAACTGTAAATAGAAAATATGGGGAAAGCGGGATGCTGAATTTGCAGCAGTGTATGAATGAGACTTTCTAAAGTGTTCTGAAGATACTGATACGTTGAAAAATAATAATAGACTTGAACCAATACCCCTGGTTGGCAAAAGGTATTTAATACAAGTGCTGTATCTTTGGGTGCTTTCCCGACTAATTCTCATACCCCAAGTGTTATGTCGCTGGCATTGTGCGATAGGCAGTTCAGGTCTATTAAAGAGGGTTTTTTGTCCTTGTTTGTTTTAAAGAAACTCTTGACCTCTCCGCAGTATTATGCGAGTGGGATAACAGGAATCCACACACACACACTGCACCAGCATGTAATTCCCGGCATGTCTGAAATTGATTGGTTTTCTTGGTGCCCAGTTCTCTTACTTTCTACATAGGTACCATCGTGTCCTTTTGACATGTTCACTTGCAATCTGCCATTAAAGTTTCTTTTCCCATGGACTAGAAAACTACTGTAGAAAATATCAGAAGAGTGTGGGTGTTTTGTAAGTTGGATTTTATCTTAGTTTTCTTTTGAAACTGACTGTCTCAGTGTGCATACTTTTAGAGGAAGGTTCTTGCGTATTTATGGATATATACATACATGCAGACACTTTTATTCAGTGGGCTAGATATTGAGGTTTATGGCTCAGGGAACGGTTTCAGCAGAAACACTGGGTTTGCAGTGAAGAGTTGCTCTGTTTATTTAAGTGATCTAAAGAAACGAAGGTGAAATAACTGCCCATGCTAATAGGAGTCATCTTGGGATCTTCTGAAGTAAATAGGGCAATTAGGGAGAGCTGTGAGCTCCCTGTGGGATGCATGATATTCTCTGACAAGAAATAAATGGAGTTTTGTTCCATGTACTTTTCTTAACCCGCCCCTTCAGATACAATTAGAGGGACTCATCCTGTATGTGCAATGCAGACAAGGTCCCAGAAGGTGTTTGCTGTGAGGGTTGAAGTCAGATACAGTGCAGTTCTGCCTGCTGATGTAGTTCCCATAGGGGAAAATGAGGCAGGTTCATCGGAAGCGTGCACAAGGGTCCTGTACAGATTTGAAAGCAAGTTCTGTTTTCTTCCTATCTCATACACACACAAGCACCTACAGGATCTTTCTTTGAGAGATATTCCAGAGCAAGCAGTTGAATCCACACATTTCTCTGCTTGGTGCAAAGAAGTGTTACAGGTGAATTCATGTGTCACAGACTGGCATGTCTTATGGGTGCTCTGTAACCCTACAGTCTGGAAAATACAGCTTTTCTGTACCTTGTCCTGTCATGATACAGAAGCACAGAGTGAGATGTTCTTAAAGACTGCAAAGTGAAGGCCATTGCCTGGTGTTTGCAGAGGTCTTTCAAGTCCTGTGTGTGTGAGATCCCAGCTTGGAGTTTTGCTCCATTGAAGGACAGGTGCCTGGTCTCCTCACTCCTTGAAATCCAGCTCTGTCCTCAAAACTAACAGCACAGATCGCTCTAAACCTTCAGTACCAAACTGGTGGCCCCTGCAGTGTTTTCAGGATGCTGGTATAGCTCCTTCCACCTGACCAGGTCTGGCAGAGTTGGCCCTTTGGGATGCTCCCAGCTGGAGCCTCCTGCCGAGCAAGGAGCAGGTAGAAAAGACACTCTTCAGGTGGAGACATGGTTGGATGGGGAGGTGTTTGGGCTGTGTCCTCAGCCAATGCAGGCCCTTTGTGAGTTTAAACAATTTCCTCTGCTTTGCACAGGTAGGCTTTGCACAGGGTTTAGCCCCATTTCCCAGGCAAAGGCAGGCTGTTTCCCAAAACTCCCCCTTGTGAGCCTTGTGAACTGGAGGATCAGTGACAGGGAAGAGCCCTTTGGGGACCACATCAGTTGTCTGAGCGCAGGTTGGCCTGCGGGTGGGTTTTCAGATACCTCAGGTTCAGTTGGGCTCAGTTTAGTCGCTCAGCCTGCAAGAGGTTACAACAGCAGTAGCCAATGCAACTCCAGGTTAACAGAAGTTTATTTGGCAGTAAGTAAAGGTGGCTTGTTTGTTTTAATGCCTAATGCTGAGTGCCTCAGAGGTATGAGGCATGATGCCTTGGACTTCTTTAATTTGCAGAGGTGTCTGGGTGCTGGTGGCATGTTGCGGACCAAGGCTTGCAACTCTCTTGGTTTAAACTGTTGCTCCCCAGCTAAAAACTTTGCAGTGCAAAGTCTCCAGTTAGGATGGGATATCCCGCAAGGAAAAAGCTCTCTTGCAAAATCTTCGGAGACTTCCTGTTTCTGGTTAGACTGAAAACATCCTGAGGGAAAAACCTGCTGCTGTGTATTTTGGTGTTCCTGTGGTCAGTCTTGGTTTAAGAGGTTGTTACATATTCCAGTTCCTAGGCCACAAGAACAATTTAAGGTGAATAATGACTAAATGAATTGCAGGTCTTTAGGTGGAACAGGGGTGAATATCTTCCAGTTTTCTAAATGTGCTTTGGGTAATTGTTCAACAGAAGGTATCACAAGCACCTTTTTTTTATTTCCTGGTATTTGGTGTAGTTCCTCTTGGCCCCGAATCATACGACATTGTTCCTTGTGCTTTGTTGGCTGAACATA